TTCTTCTATGAGGACCGAAGCAACTGCCAAGTCCCAGGGCCAGACAAATTATGGTAAAGTACTTTTAAAGTGGATACTGTTTTCTGTCTTAAGTATACACTAGGTAAATTGCCTGCTATCATTTTGTTTTATAGTATTCAAATTTAATTAAGTGGGTGAATTTGTTCTTAGTTTGGTAACATTAAACAGAGTTTTGAGATGGAAGGGGTAATGATCATCAAGATGCATTGTACTCATAAAAAGAATGTAATTCTGGTGGACTCTTGACTCTTGAAATTTGTTTTGTGGGAATTAAATGGAATCACAAGTCTCACAATCCTGTCCACATTTAAACTGCTTCTCAAAATACTACAGTTGTCATTTTCTTGTGTAAATTTGTGCTGAGAGGTGCTTTCTTCTATATAACTAACAGATATTAAACTAACATTTGGTGACGTTAAGGAGGCCTATATGTAAAGTAATTATTCCACATATTTCTCTACATGGTATTATTTTAAAGAACAGGAACATTTTGTTCAACTACATTTATAGTATAATCATATTGCGTTAACTCTTTCATTACCATAATGTTTCAGTAACAAATAGTATTGTATTTTGAGCCAGAAATCCAAATAAGCCTATTTTTATGGATTTACCAGGCAAAGAACTATAAAGCTATAGTGTGAATTGGGATAATGGTGTAAGTTTTTATTTGATAAAGTACCAGGTGACACATTGTTATTGTTTAGTAGGTGCCTGAAACTTTGTGCATGCTTGTACTTTGACATAGAAATAGGGTAGCTGTATCACTTGTGGGTGTCATTTGTGCTCAGTATTTTGGAGCAAACTTTGTTCTTACAGTGGAATTTTTAAACAAGCAATTAAAATTAAACCAAAGTAAGTATTATAGTGTACCTCTTAATAAACTTCTCAATTACAGATCAGAAAATCTGGGACATAATTTAACTATAGTGAATCCCACCCTAAGGATGCACAGTAAGAATTAATTTCGTACTCTGTAGTTGATTGCCCTGAAGTGTGAATTATTAATGTCTCTAAATTCAGTGTTGGGAAAGCTTAATAATTCCTTTTAGTCTCTTGAAAGAAGCAAATTTGGCTATATTTTATAAAATTTGTTGCTTTAAATCCACTCTCTCAGTAGAATACACTCATAAATATTTTCTTCCTATGAGGAAATAACAGGATAAGGATTTTTAAAGGCCATTTAGAGATTTAGAAATTACTTAATTGATTAGAGGCAGCCATTCTGATGTTAAAAACATATGATCTTTCTTTCAGCAAATCAAGATACAATTTTGTCAAGATAGAAAAATCTGGATACAAGATCACTTCTATTATTTAGCTGTTTTCCTTTCTCTAGCTTGATAATCTGGGTAAAGCTTTGTACTTAGGATTTGCCAAAGACGTTTTCTTGGGATCTTGGCATGTTTAATTCCCGGCTCCATACCATTTCTATCCTTGTCTTTTACTTTCAAATTTCTCATTGTTAGAAATGTAATTGACACTCCAAAGAATAAAAGCTTAGTATACAATTATCTATTAATTTGGCCTAAGCACCAAAGAAATTGGTGTTTGGCAGTTCTGACAGTACACTTGGAGTTTATTAAAAGGTCAATTAAAAGGTTTATTAAAAGGCCAATTCCCTGGCTTGAATTTAACTTCTATTTATTTGCTTTCTCACCCCTTCTATAGAAGGATGAGTGTTATTTTTTAAAGCTAGACAGTTAGAAAGAAAGAAATTGAAAAAGGCACGTAAGGATAATGAATATGCACATAAGTCTGAATTAGTTAATTCTGAAAATCTGAACCACTAGTATGCATTTTTGTTATAAAATTTTTTTAAAGTGCTGGTCCTGGAGCTGGGTGGCTAGTGCTCTACCATTTGAGCCACAGCTCCACTTCCAGCTTTTTGGTAGTTAATTGGAGATAAGAATCTTGTGGACTTTCCTACTATAGCTGGATTTGAACCATGATCATCAGATCTTAGCCTCCTAGTCTTTAGGATTATAGGCCTGAGCCACCAGTACCTGGCCATTCTATTTATACATTATTAATACTTACACTAAGTGGAAGTATATAAGTAGTGACAAAAACATCCCTGCCTCTCCCCCTTAGTTAAAAAAATCAGTTCTCATTTTGCTGTTTTTTTTTTTTTTTTTACTGTTACTAAAAAATCCTTGTTCTTGTGCGATTATCTCATTGCTAGACATTGGAGAAGTAGAATGTTGGATAAAAGATATGCCTGTTTTGAAAGATTCTGCTACATATTATCCAGTTGCTTTCCAGAAAGATTTTGTACATTCCTGTGTTTATCTTTAGTGTAAGGAACTGCAAATTTCCCACACTGCTGTCAGCAAGTATCATCAAATGCTTTCTTTTCCAGTCTGAAGACATATATGTAAAGCGATATAGTAAACTTTTTATTTCTTTAGTTACTGATGAAGTTGATTTTTAATGCTTTGATTTTTTTTTTGTTTAGATTTTTTTTTATTTTTTATTGTGAAAATAATGTACAGAGGGGCAAGATAATGAGTACATTTCTTTTTTTTTTTTTTTTGTCGGTCGTGGGGCTTGAACTCTGGGCCTGGGCGCTGTCCCTCAGCTCTTCAGCTGAAGGCTAGCACTCTACCACTTGAGCTACAGCGCCACTTCCGGTTTTCTGGTGGTTTATTGGAGATAGGAGTCTCACGGTCTCTCCTGCCCGGGCTGGCTTTGAACCGTGATCCTCAGATCTCAGCCTCCTGAGTAGCTAGGATTACAGGCGTGAGCCACCAGCGCCCGGCTTATGAGTACATTTCTTATCAAGCATTGTAGCCTCCTCCTTTGTTTCCCCTTCCCATCCCTTCCCAGCCTCCCCGCGCCCCCCCCCAATCCTCCCCCCCCAACAAACTTGTAAAGTTTGTTTTCGACATGACAACGGGTACTGTACTTGGCATAAAGATTCAGCATTCTGTGTGACTTGTTTTGAAAACAGCTGACTCCACAGTTCTCACTGTCCACTCCATGAAAGTGAGCTCTGTGCTACCTGTCTGAATGTCTTTCCATTTTTCTGTGTACTAGCAAATGCCTATAATGCATATTCTGCATTGGTGTCCTCTTCTGCAGAATGAGGGTTTGGCAGTCCACTCTTTTCTCATCCCACACAATAATCCTTTCAAATCTTACCCCCTTGTTTTAATCTCACTCTGACTCACATTTTTCAGGAACCACTATTTTCTGTTTGTGTTAGTCATCTCTCCCTCTTTGTGACAAAATATCTGAGGTAATATCTTTCCTAGAAGGAAAGATTTACTTTGCTTACAGTTTTAAGAGTCTCATCCAACCTATGGTAGGCTGGCTCCATTGCTGTGGACCTGTAGTAAGGCAGAACATCATTGCTAAAGGGTGTGGTGGGGCAGGGATATTCTTGTAGGAGGAAGGAAGGGTCTTCTGACAAGATACCCTTCAAAGGTGCTCGCCCTAGTGACCTACTTCTTCCAAATAGGCCCCACCTCCTAATAGCCCATTCATATGTGATTGCCTGATTTATTGATTAGGTTAGTGCTCTCGTGATCCAGTCAGCTCACCTCACCTTACCAGTTGTTACCAACTGGGAATCAAAGCTTCATCCTGTGAGCTTTTCCTGACATATGCCACCACAACACTGAACCTTTGAAGAAGGAGGGTTAAGAAACCTTACATGATCATTTAGGAACATTTACTGAAAAAATGGTTGCAAAAGCATAAGTTCCTTATGCCACTTGAAGTACTTTTTAATATTTTTAGTGGTCATTTGTATAAAGGAGTGGTTAAAATTATAGGCTATAGAGTCAAAACTGCTGGATTTGCCTCCTATCTTTGCTTTCTACCTGCTTTGTGCCATTGGATAATTTTCTTGAGATCTCTAGATCTCAGAATTGGTGGAGGATTGCCACCAACACCTGCCTTCTTGTATGGTTGTGGGACTAAAGTGCTCTGTCAGTGTCTGCTGTTCAGGAGCATCTTGCCGTCTGCCAGGTGTGTAGTAATAACACAGAGAGAATGCAGCTGCTGGTACTTTTGTGGATTTCTTGCTGATCATTTTTGCCTGGTTTTCTGCTGGAATGCTGCTTTTTTTTTTCTTCTTGATCAGAGATGCTTTAGTACAATCTGTGATTGGCCTTTTATTTTTATATATGGTACTATTTCATGTTATGCTTGCAACTTCTGTTGTCAGATTTGTGTTTTTGAAAGACCTTATATTAATGAAGAAGGGTGTGTGTGCATGTGGCATGTGTGTGCTTATGTGTGCATGTTGTAAAATTGAAGGCAATGAGACCCGCTACAAGGTTATTACAGTAGCTGAGGCAACTGATAAAAAGAACTTGAAAGGCTAAATGAAGACATGCTAATTTCATCATGTAGCATAATTGTTTTTATAAATCTCAAAGTATGTTTGTGCTAGTTCATTTTATATATGTATATATATTACCTTAATTTTAAGTATTCCTCCCCCCCTCACAAATATAAAGAATTCATTTAGTAAAGAGAAAGTAAAGGCCACTCAGGAGAGTGAGCAGCAGGACCTGGAAACTGGTTTTCCACTGGGTGGTTAGAGACTTGACTGTTCTGTATTGTCCCTCCCCACCTTTTAAAAGGTTTTTGTTTTTGAATAGTGTTCTGCCCAAGTAGATTTCGTCTTAAAATAGAACTATCCATTTCAGTTTCTACTTCAGTTTCTTTTTCTGTTAAATACTAGAATCAAGCTTGATTTTTGAGGGCTTAGCTTTATTATGTTCTGAAGTCTAAAGTCTGTGCTGTGTTAATACATTTGCTTTCTCTTGAATTCATACGTACTATTGAAGTGGTAGGTAGCTTGATATTCTGAAGTTGGATATAACTCATTCTTTTAAGTGTATTTGACTTTGCTGAATTTTCATTTTAGGCAATATCATTTTTGTTTTATTTTTATTTATCTTAGTTTTATAAATAACTTTATGATTCTTTGAGTAACAGCACATCTAAATTTGATCTCTCTACAGATTCAGACCAGGATGTAGCACTCAAACTTGCCCAGGAACGCGCTGAAATAGTTGCTAAATATGACAGAGTAAGTATCCATATTTACTCTTGGAGTTAGTTTTATTAGAAAAAAACACATAAATAGAAAGGGATTTACTTTTTGGAGAGCTGAGATTACAGAAGCAGTTTGTTTACTTCATAGGAACATCGAGCTCATCTTTTTTTTCTTCATCTTCATATTCTTTCTTTCCTTTTTTGCTACTCTAGTCTCTTGCTGTTTTCCAGCACAGACCTGCTCCTGCCTTAGGGCCTTTGCACTGGCTGTGTCCTTTGCCTGGAAACACTTGAGTCCTAGATATATCCTAATGCTTCAGTGCCTCATTTTCTGCAGATCTTTACTCAGATAACACCTTCTTAGTGAGATTTTTGATGTTCTTTCTTACTACTCTCTTTTCTACCCCCTTTCTCTCTAGGTCCCCCTTTTCTTTTACTCTAAGACTTAATATATCACCATCCATATGTTATACTTATTTTGTTTATTGTCTGCTCTGTCTCCTAGAACTCTTGAGAGCAAGAGTTTCTGTTTGATTTACTCTTGTATCTGACATACTTTGAACATTTTCTGGCTCATACTAGGTACTCAATAAATATTTGAGTATAGAATTCCTATTGTATGCATAATTAATACCTGCTATTATAACTTTACTGTGCATCTTAGATTTTATATTTGTACATTTGTATATAACTTGCCTTAGCATTTTATCCTTGTGATAGCATAGAATCTGTTTTGATGTTTTAGAAAAATCACAATTGTTGACAGTTTTCATATCTTATCCTACCTTCTGAGTTTTATAGTGAGTCATAGCAGTTATTTATAAATGTTACAGTTTACGCTTCTATCACTTGTATGTAATTATATATTAAAAAAATTATTTGTGAGATGGAAGTGGCACTGTAGCTCAAGTGGTAGAGTGCTCACTTTGAGTTGAAGAGCTGAGGGACAGAGCCCAGGCCCAGAGTTCAAGCCCCATGACCAACAAAAAAATAAAATAAAATAAAATAAAAATAAAAAAGTATTTGTGAGAATAACAGGAGCATGACCTTGTGAGGAAAAAAAAAAGCCATTTGGACTGCGCACTGCTTCCAGGGAGATATATGTGGTGTTCAACTTAATAGTTATGCTTTAAGAGTTCATTTTTTAAGCTGATTGGCCAAGATATAGTTTTCCATTATTGCAATTCATTTTCTTGCTTGTTTTTTAGAAACAGGTCTTGCTATGCAGTCCAGGCTGGCTCTGTAGACTAGATTGGTCTCAAACCATCAGCCCTCCTACCTTAGCCTCCTTGGTGTTCAGACTGCAGGTATAAACCACCAGGTCAACTGTAACTACATTTTAGTGTGGTTTAGAATCCATAGAAAATGAAAAAAATGTTAAGCATCAGAATAGCGAATAATCCAATTAATAAATGGACAGATAAATTGGACAGTTCTCCAAATGAGAAGTACAGATGGGCAGTAAGCACATGAAAAATGTTAAACATTCACTGCCATGAAACAACTATGAATCTAAACTACATTGTCTGGGTGCTGGTGTTCCATGTCTGTAATTGTAGGTACTAAGGAGGCTGAGCTTGATAGGATTGTGGTTCAAGTTTTACCTGGGCAAAAAGTTTGCACTCTCAAATCTCAGCCAAAAAAAAAAAACAAAAAAAACTGAGCATGGTGTCTGTTGTCCTAGCTGTGGCAAGAAACTCAAACAGGAAGATAGGTCTAGGCTAGCCAGGGCAGAAATCACCCATATCTCAAGATAACCAGAGCAGCAAAAATGGCTACTGGTATGGCTAGCTGTAGAACGCTTGTATAACAAGCATGAATCCTGAGTTCAAACCTCAGTTCCCAGTAACATTCTTTTCTATTACATTAGGGGCGAGAAGGTGCAGAGATTGAACCTTGGGAAGATGCTGATTACCTCGTTTACAAAGTCACGGATAGATTTGGCTTTTTACAGTAAGTTATATGGAGTGGAAGCTAATGTTTTTTTGGTCGTAATATTTTTATGGTAACACATTATATTTTCTTTACTTTTAGTAGAGTTTTTGTGAATGAGATTCTGTAATGATCTTACTTCGTTGGCACTAAATTACTGGCATTTTAAACTATCATTAAAATTGAGGAATACAGGTATTTTTTAATTTGGTAAGATAGTAAATTTGGTAAATATAGTAAATGAGAAGTATTAATAATTTAGCAGAATTAAACATTTTTAAATAATTATAAAGCATTCAATTTTATATACATACACTTAAAAATAAATAGCAGTTAGAATATTAGTGATATGCACCCTAAAAATGAGCAATGAAAAGAAAAGCCATTGATCTGTATAGTTATATGTTCATGATATTGCTTCTCAAAATTAATTCCGTTAATTTTGAGAGTGTCATCTAAAGAGAGAGGCCAGAGTAATAGAAAGGAAAGCAGTATTAAAACATCCTGCAAGATGATGTGAATCTCTTGTTCTGGTCTTGATATTGTTTACTCAGATTCCCACAGGCTCCAGACTTCTGTTCATTTCTATACTTGTTTGAGTCCATACAATTTAAGGATTAGCTAAATTTTTCATTTGAATATACTTTTCCGGTTGTGTTTAGTTTAGATAGGAAAAACTAGAATTTTTTATTTATAATATGACTCAATTTTAAAGGAAAATAAATACTTTCTTGTTTAACTCATAGCAGTAACTTACAGTATTCAGACTTTATTTTTTTCCTCTGCAGGTTTGGTTTATTGTTTTTTTAGTGTGTGTGTATGTATTTAGTGGTCATTTTGTTGTATTATGTTTCGTTGAGGGTAAAGCAAACAGATACAGGAATTAGTAAATGAATGTCTGCTGTTCTTGTGCTTTCCTAGTCTCTGGTTACTGAACCACTTCATGCTTTATGATTCATGGTTCAAAAACACACTATCTTCTATATTTTAAGAGTATTGACGCTTTGGAGAAATAAAATGTAAGTGTGAGCCGGGAACTGGTGGCTCACACCTGTAATCCTAGCTACTTAGGAGGCTGAGATCTGAGGATTGAGGTTCAAAGCCAGCCCAGGCAGGAAAGTCCGGTGAGACTCTTATCTCCAATAAACTACTAGAAAACCAGAAGTGGCGCTGTGGCTCAAGTGGTAGAGCGCTCTCCTTGAGCTGAAGAGCACAGGGACAGCGCCCAAGCCCAGAGTTCAAACCCCACTACCGACAAAAAAAAAAAAAAATAAGGTTCTAGATTTGTATAAGATGTTAGTATTGTGCCTCATAATAGCATCATATATCTAAAATTTTTCCTGAAGAGTTATAATGAGAAGACTTTGAACTGAATTAGATAAGCAGCAGTATTATGGTGGAAACACTCTTCTTAGATCCCCACCTATTTTTTTATTAGTTTATATTAGTTATGTGGGGGGGTGTTCACTGTTACATCTTCACGTTTATATTTACGTTCAAATCAATCTGAACCCCTCTATCACATTTCTTGCCCCCCCAGTAGCTTTCCCAGAAGATTTCTTTGTTTTACTGTCATAGTTTCAAGTAATCTATTTTTACAGTATTTAGTCTCCCTTCCTACTAAAGTCTATGAATGAGAATGTGATATTTCATTTTTTGAGCTTAGTTTGGCGTTCCCTAGTTGTATCTATTTTCCTGCAAATGACATGGCTTCATTTTTCTTTGTGGATATGTAATATTTAACTGTGTGTGTGTGTGTGTGTGTGTGTGTGTGTGTGTGTGTGATTGTGTGTGAGTGAGTGAGTGAATGTGAGAGAGAGAGAGACAGACAGACAATCTTCTTTATCCATTCATCTGTTATTGGGCACCTTGGTTGATTCTATCATTTGGCTTGTGAGCAATGTTTTAATAAACATGAATGTACAGATGTCTTTCTAGTATATTATTTACTCTCCTTTGGATACATTCTGGTAGTGGTATGTGGAGTCATAAGGAAGGTCTACAGTTAGTTTTTTGAGCACCTCCATCCTCATTTCTATTGAGATGACACTAGTTTACATTCCCAGCAGCACAAGGAATCTCAGTTCCCCCTATTGTCTCCAGTCTCTGTTGTTGTTTGTTTTCTTGATGGTGGCCACTCTGACTGGTGTGAGAGGGAATCTTAGTATGGTTTCGATTTACATCTTTGTTGTGGCTAAGTAGATTGCACATGTGCCAATTAGTCATTTGTATTTCTTCTTGTATGGCTCATTTTGTCCAATTGTTGATAGAATTATTTGTTCTCTTACTGCTTAATTTTTTTGGTCCTCTGTATTTTGTGGATATTAATCTTTTATATGTTGAGTAGCTAGTGAGAATTTTTTTCCCCATTCTGTAGGTTATCTCATACTTCTGGTGATTGTTTCTCTTGTTGTGCAAAAAGTCTTTAATCTGTTATAATACCATTAGTCAATTCTTGCTCGCTTCCTCTGGCTATCTAGAGTTCTATTCTGGAAAAGTTTACCTGGACTTGTATCTTCCAGAGTTTTTCTTACATTTTCCTGTAGTAGATTTAAAGTTTCAGATCTTGCTTTCAGCTCTTGGATCCAGCTGGAATTGATTTTTGTACAGGTTGAGTGGTAGAGATCTAGTTTCAGATTCTTAGAGGTAGATACCCAGATTTCCCATCACTGTTTGTTGAAAAGGCTGTCTTTTTCTTCATTGTTTTTGGCTCTTTTGTTGAAAATTAGTTGGCTGTGTGTAGATCTCCTGTTCTTCCATTGGCCTTTGGGCTTATTTTATACTAGCACCATGATGTTTTTGTTACTGTGGCTCTGTAGTATAATTTGAAGTCTTAATATTATGATACCTTCAGCAGTATTCTTATTACTTGGAATTTCTTTTGCTATTCGGCCCATTCCCAAATGTAAAAAAAATCAGATGACTACAAATGTAACAGGAGATCATTGGTACATTTGTGTGGGTTCATGTATACAATATGTAAATGAAGTTTTGAAGGACAGTTTGAACATTAAACTGTTCAGATGAGCAGGTCTCAAAATTGTCTGCCTATTTTAATCAGCCAGAAATTTCTTTTTTAAAAAAATCACTGAAACCAGGTGCCAGTGACTCATACCTGTAATCCTAGCTACTCAAGGAGGCTGAGATCTGAGGATTGCAGTTCAAAGCCAGCCCGGGCAGGAAAGTCTAGTGAGACTCTTATCTCCAATTAACCACAAGAAAACCAGAAGTGGCTCAAGTGGTAGAATGCTCGCCTTGAGCTGAAGAGCTGAGGGGCAGTGCCCAGGCCCATAGTTCAAACCCCAAAACCGCTCCCCCCCCCAAAAAAAAAGATCATCACTGAGTCCAATATTAGATTGTTTTTTAGACATTGAGATGCTACTGAGTTTACTTTGTCTTTCCCAAGTTTTTCTAATGGAACTGAATCACTATGATTGTGTTTTTATGACATAATGGCCCAATGTAGCTATCATCAAGGACATGTGAAAAATTTGTGCAGTCCAACAGAATCTGTTAATTACCTACATTTTCTTGCTGCTTGAAACAATATGAGCTGGGCCTTAGACACAAAAGTCTGGCCCAAGCTCTTAGATGTATCTGACAATCCAAGCATTGCAGTCAGATAATTCATATTTGTTTTTTGCTTTCAGTGTCTGCTAGGTGTAGTGGGGAAAAATCAGTAACTGTGTGTCAGACACTGTCCTAAGCCCTGTACATCTTTACATAATTAGTTCACTTATTCATCTCAAAAAATTATTTGGGGCAGTGTTTATGCATTCTCTCTTTCTCTTTCTCTGTCTCTTTCTCTGTCTCTTTCTCTGTCTTTCTCTCTCTGTTTCTGTTTCTCTCTGTCTCTGTGTCTGTCTGTTTCTGTTTTTAGATGCTGAAACACAAAGAGGTCAAGTAAAATCCCCAAGTTATTTGATAGTGAGTGTAAGATCTGAGTGTGGACCTTGAACTCGTTGAAGAGTCCATATTCTGAATACTGTAATACACTGCCTGTTCCTGCCTTCTTACATTTTTTCTTTTTCTTTTTTTTCCAAGCAGGTAGAAAACTCGTTTATTAACAGAGAGCAGCCCTTTTTAAAGCCAAAAAGGGCGGCTTCTTACATTTTTTCATTAGACAGTGGAGGCGGGAGGGCAAGGGTGGAATCTAAAGAGGATACAGTTTGAAATGATTACTTCTATTGAAATATATATCCATACTAAGAGAGCCAAGCCTTTCCATTTCCTTTGGTACCAATTCTCAAACTATCATAGTAAAAAAAAAATAGTACAAATGAAAATATTGAGACATGGAAATGTATTTTAGTGTAATATAAAACTTTATTAACTTTCTCTAAAGTCATTGCTCTTTTGTTACAATGCCTAATTTTAGTAAAACACCTTCTCCAGAGATTGTTGCTGGTGGCTTTTATTGCCTGTCACTGTGGAGGATTATCTTCACTACAAAACAAAATAACTTGATATAGGCCTTTAGATAGTACTCTCTGTCACACTTTGATCAAAAGAGCATTTATTTCTCTTATGCTAGTTATTTGTATATTTGTTTTTGGCTCTGCAATAACATTGGATTCTAAGTTCCTCATCTACACTGAAATTATGAAAAAAAGATAATAAGCTTGTAGATTTATGTGAAAGCTACTAAGCTCATGTCTAGTCACAGTTCTAGAAACTTAAACTACTTTGCTTTAATATATAAAGAAGGAGTGACAGTTATTAACAAATATAGTATGGGACTAACAGATTTGACAATATATATTAAAGCTGTGGCCAACCCAGCCTGGCTTGATGCTGGAATAGCAGTGTCTTTGTCTCGCTCCCAGCAGTGGGGCATCAACCCCAGTTTGTGTGCCTATGTTGGATCTACAGCTGCAGATTAGAAAAAAAAATCAAGCTGCTTAAGAAGTTGGAAAACTTTAAACATGTTGATCAAAAATAGCCATTTCATTCTGTTCAACTAAGAATGCCTGGTATTTGGATGATAATAAATTATACTTTAGATCACAAGTTATTAATAGGAGAATCAAGAGGAAATTGTACCAAAAATAGGGATGATAAAAATTAGTACCAAGCATCAGATGTTTAACTACTTATCAGAATTTCTATATTTATAGAATTTAACAGATTGTAGTTTACCATGACTATGTAAATATATGAGTGTTGGAATAAAGTTTTTTCAAGATTATCTGTTTTGATTACAAGGGATGAAAATTCTATCAGTCATTCATTTTGACTAGGTGGAATCTAAATCTAGAAAAAATTTACTTATTTTTGTATCAGTAAGCACTTTACCAATTGAGCTCTCATCTCCATTGTGGCATTTTGCTCATTATTTGGAGTTGTAATCTTGCTGACTTCTCTCCCTGACCTGGCTTGGTACCAATGAGTCTTCAAGAAGTCTGCTTCCTGAGTAGCTAGGAAGCTTATGCAACTCTTAGGATGCTCTTATGATGACACTCTACGCCATATACATGGATAGGTATATATTTTTACAATCTGCTTCAGTGATCTCACATGTATTATTATTCTCTGCAGTGAGGAGGAGCTTCCATATCATAATGCAGCTATGGAACGGGTAAGTTCACTTCTTCATTTATTTGGCACAACAGTTGGATTATCTTTACCAGAGAAGTAAGATCTACCCCTTTTGTGATTGTTGAGTGCGATATAATAGGCAAGTACAGGCACAGTGTTTGTTAAAATTTGACCCTAATTATATGACTTCTAAGAAAGTAATTAAACTAATGGTGAAATAATTCTAGGAGGGTTTATGAGACTCTTAAGAGATGGTTGAAAGTAAGAGTTGCATTTTGGAATGGTAGCCCCAATCTCAGCAGACCCCTACCTGTCACTGAAACTAGTCTCTGTGGCAGGAGCCTGGACAGACAAATTTCAAAAAGCATCACAAGTAATTTTCATGTTCCCTCTGGCCAAAAAGGCAGCATTTTAATGACTAGTAGTCCTTTAAAACATAAAGTTCCCACTAAGGACAAAATAGAACATTTTCTATAGTCAGATAACTAACTGTCTCAGAATTTTAAGTGACATGGTAAACCTGCCAGCTTAAAACAACAACAAAAAAACCAAAAGCAATTTCTCCTGACTCCACTCAGCAGGGAGCTGCACTGGATCTGCATGAGAAGTAGGGGTTGAAGCAGTACAGTTGCTCAAAACCTCCCTCCCAAGCTGGGCACTGGTGACTCACACTTGTAAATCCTAGCTACTCAGGAAGCTGAGATCTGAGGATCATGGTTCAAAGCTAGCCCAGGCAGAAAAGTCCCCATGAGAATCTTATCACCAATAAACTACTCAAAATAGCTGAAAGTGGCCCTGTGGCTTAAATGGTAGAGCACAAAGAGGCTCAGGGACAGCATCTAGGCCCTGACATCAAGCCCCAGGATGAAGAGTGGGGAGGGAGGCACACAAACAACAACCCCCCCCCCCTCTCTTATCCCCTCCTTCTCCTTCTCTTTCCACCTCCTCCCTCCCTTTTCCTCTCTTCTTCCTCCTCCCCTTTCCTGGCCAAAAGTCTATATAGTGAAAGTGAGATGTCAGCTGGGATAATTTTCTGCTTGTGTGTATCCTATGAGCTAGGGACTAAATTTCAGGCAGGGCAGCTGAATTTGGAATTTGAAGAATATTTTTCAGAATTTGAAAAATCTTTTTTAAAAAATGTTTTAAGAACAGAATATTCTGAAAACCAGAACTGTAGCAAAACTTTTAAGATTAGAAAGAATTGCATCATCTTGCAAAGAAATGGAAGGACCTGGAAAAAATCATGTTAAATGAAGTCAGGCCCAGAAAGAAAAAGGATGCATGTTTTCTCTCATATGTAGAAGCTAGAATTAATTTATAAATACATACGAACAGTTTTGGATGATATACAAGTGTACACAAATGTCTTGACTGAGTAGGGTAGATTCAGGGGAGAACTCAAATAGTATAACTCCTTAGAAAGGCTAACCAACCATCCAACAAAATAAACTCCTGAAAGCAAGGTATTCCCAAGAGTGTGGGGCCAAAGGAAGGGAAGTAGTGGAATGAAGAGAGGAAGAAGGAGGCGGTTACAGTCACAAAAGTCAAAGCAAATGCTACAAAATTATGAAATACAAAATATAAAATTGAAGGAAGGTGTAGGGTTGAGAGGGATGTCGGAGAATGTTGAAAGGGGTGACATTGATCAAGATGCTTTGTATTCATAAACTGCCTTGTTAAGTGGCAACTTCTTTGCACAGCTACTTAAAGACAATGAAAACCTATTTTAAAAGAGATGTAGATAAACTTGCGATTTTACAGATCTCTGTGGACCAATTTCTTTCTTTTAATAGTTGTGCTCTTGACACAGTAGTGTGACCTGCAGTAGACTAGATGCTGCACAGAATTCTAGGACTGAGAAAAACATGTTCTTGTTAGTGGAGCATACATGCTTGAAAGCAGCTGTTTTTCTTCAATTTTTGGTTTCTAAGATTTACCTATCCAATAAAAGATCTCTTACACAGTGCAGTTAGGCTTATAATGAGTTGATTGTTTAAAGAATTTAATATAGGGCTGGGAAGTTGGCTCAGTGGTAGAGTGCTTGCCTTGCATGCATGAGGCCCTGGGCTCGATTCCTCAGCACCACATAAGCAGAAAAAGCCGGAAATGGTGTTGTGGCTCAAGTAGTAGAGCGCTCGCCTTGAGCTGAAGAGCTGAGGGACAGCGCCCACACACAGAGTTCAGGCCCCATGACCGACAAAAAACAAAACAAAACAATATAATTGACTCATTTAAAAACATTTTTGCAAAATAGAGTTGACTTCTTTGAGTCATGTAAACCCCATCTGAAGGCTAAAAACTAGTTTTCAGATTAATCCCAGTTTTTCTATTTAAGTTCATGTATTTTTTTAAAGTGGTTGCCTTGTTAAAGTAGCCAAGCTGTTTGTAGGAAACTAATAAAATTTATACATATATAAATACCTTATAATAGAATTAAATCAATGGAATTGATAGCTTTGTTGAAGTCTGCAGTCTTTATAAAGCATACCCTTGAAGCATGCACTTCTTGCTATTAGGAAACTGGGGTACTAATGTATAATCAAGTGAGCATGGCTTGTATTCTAGCAATTCTCTAAAGTAGGGATCGTAATCCTCCCTCCTAAGAGGATTAATGTAATGTTGGCTAAGTGTTTTGGGTTCCTCCAGACAAGCACTTGATAAGCGAATAAATACATATACTCATTATATTTACTCTGGAGAGAAAAATATTAATATTGCTTTTTTGAGCTTACTGATGTTTTTAATAAAGAGAAAAGTTTATATAAAATTACAGATTTTCATAAATTCAGCCCTTCATGTAGTACAATATCTTATGTACTATTTAGAGTATTAGACCTACTTCTTTTTAGATTATACTTTAATTTTACGTGGTTTGTAATCTTATTCAAAATACTTGATCCATACTGTTCCTTCCTGCACTTGTCCTCTCCTGCCCTCTGCTGGTGAGATACAGGCATGGGTGACTGTCAGCTTCATCTTCACTCACATCCTGATTGCATGGAAGAGCAGGCACATTGTAAGAGATGGGGAAGATCTAGCTTTTTACTATTTTCACACTTCACATATTGTGGAATACTTCTGGTTACCATGAGGTGTTGGGGTTTTCCCCAATATTACCAAGTAGTTCCTCAGTGAACACTGATTGCAAGCAATTCTGACACCATCCAGTACAGATCTCATGTATTAAAAGCTCAGTGGCACAAGACTATTCTCGACATAAAACACTAATCAACAGCTCCAGATTGTCACCTGTGCTGTAAGTTGGAGGCTTTCATGACCCCTTCCTTATATTTGATTATTAGCTTCAAACCTAAAAGGAACAGCTCAGGGACATCCAAATTTGAGATTCATAGGACAGGTCACAGGGGAGTGCAGAGCGTCCCTGTCTTCCTTGGGTACAGAAACCCTCTATGTTGTCAGTCTGAAAGATTTCCAAACATACAATGGAGAGAATTTAATGGAGGCATTTTGTTTTGTTTTGTTTTTGGTTTTTTGGTCGGTCATGGGGCTTGAACTCTGGGCTTGGGCGCCGTCCCTGCGCTCTTCAGCTCAAGGAGAGTGCACTACCGCTTGAGCCACAACGCCACTTCCGGTTTTCTAGTGGCTTATTGGAAATAAGAGTCTCACGGACTTTCCTGCCCAGGCTGGCTTTGAACCGCGATCCTCAGATCTCAGCCTCCTGAGTAACTAGGATTTCAGGCGTGAGCCACCAGCACCTGGCTGGAGGCTTTATGATATAGGCATGACTGGTTATTAAACTGACTCTGTCCCCTTTACCTTTTTAATAGGATAGCGTGTGAAGCTGGTCCAGGAGCTTACACATAGTCACCTTATTAGAATAATTGACACTCCCATAACCCAGAAAATTACAAGGGTTTTTAGGGCTAATATTAGACTATTATTCAAATAGAGGAGCCATAAAGGGATTTGAAGACCTGAATTTCTTATTCTGGAAGAAAAGGCTAGTTAATATACACCCATGTATTGTGTAAAGGTTTAACTTTGACTGTTTGAATTCTTAGTCATGTGAATAGCGATAGGGATTTGTGTGGGTAATGAATGAAACAATTGTTGAATATTTACTGTTAAGCTGGTCCTGCACAAAGTTAAAAATGTTTTAAATTACTAGGAGGTAAGAGGTAGCAAAGATTATGATTCTATTTTTAATCCTTAAAATATACTTTGCCTAATAAATGAAGTCAATTCTGTTTTGAATTTGATTTCAGCTTAAGATAATAGGTTCTCATATTTTGAACTTTAAATGAAAAGTTTAGTTCTTCCCCAAAAATAGCTCCTGAGAAGAAAAGTATACAACAACATGCCATTTTCTTAGCCAGTAGAATTAATGGAGAGACAACAAAGGGAATGCAGGTGATCATTAAGAACTCAGCAAATATATGTGGTTCTGACATTTTGAGGAGTAGGATTTTCTTTCATGTTTGGTTATCCTGTATGGTCTGAAAATGTGCATATTGAGTATATTTATGACCTAGATCTTGTTTGTTAAATATCATCCCATACCCCGTCAAAAGGAACCAAGGTTTCTGATGGCTCATTCTATACCTGGGATGCAGAGAACATAAGGTAGCCAGAATCAGTTCCAGAAAACAAAGTCACAAAACCAAACAAAAACCCTAACAGGCATATCAAAAGGACTCATTTGGGAAGAAATCTGCAGTCAGATAAGCTGGCCAAATTTGGGAAAATTAAAAGGTAGATGGTTATAATTCTTTAGAGAATAGTAAATAATGGGAAGAGTGACTAGAAAGAAAGCCTTTTTAATGTCAAAAGATAATGTCAGTTATTAATCCAGAAGGAATGATACAATTTATAAGGGGAACCACTGTTTTATCGTCATCAATGCTGTCATTGACTTAAGTAGGAATTATCAGTGGACGATGGGACCATTGCGGGGTTTTAAGCATAGGATGTTTACACTCTTCTATAGTATTATTAGTCACAAAAGAGAATTTCTCTGTTAGTTAATGAAGAAGTTGAGAACATATCATGTTAGCTGAGTGATCAGACTATAGCATAACT